CCGAGACTGCGTCACTGCACTCCAGCCTGGGCAACAGAGCAAGGCTTCATCTCAAAAAAACACACACAAAAATGCGGTCTTGGTGGCCGGCACAGTGGCTCACATGTGTAATCCCAGCACTTTGGGAGGCTGAGGTGGGAAAATTGCTTGAGCCCAGGAGTTCAAGACCAGACTCGACAACATAGGGAGACCCCATCTTTTCTAATTATTATTATTTTTTTAATGAAACAAACAAAAAAGAAATGCAGGGCTGGGTGCGGTAGCTCACATGCCTGTAATCCCAAGACTTTGAAAGGCGGAGGTGGGTAGATCAACTGAGGTCAGGAGTTCAAGACCAGCCTGACCAACATGAAGAAACCCCATCTCTACCAAAAAATACAAAATTAGCCAGGCGTGGTGGCGTGCGCCTGTAATCCCAGCTACTCGGGAGGCTGAGGCAGGAGAATTGCTTGAACCCGGGAGGCGGAGGTTGCGGTGAGCTTAGATTGTGCCATTGCACTCCAGCCTGGGCAACAAAAGCAACACTCCAAAAAAAAAAAAAAAAAAAAAAAAAGGCACTCACATCTTCTAGAAGATGAGAAAATAAAAGGATAACACCGCTAAGTGTGAGGTGAGAAGCAGAAGCCCAAGAAGAAAGCACAAAAGCCGAGGGTCCACTCCTGGCCCATTCTCTCCCTGCCTTCCCCACGAGCTGGCAAGGCTGGGATGGCCAGGAGAGAGGCAGGCAGAGGCAGAAGAGTGGAGACTCTTGCATCCTGCTAAGCCAGGGCAGTGCCGAGTGTGAGGAAGAGGGGCTGGAGCATTGAACCCCAAGGCCCTGAGGGACTTTCCCTTCGCTCTCCCTTGGCAGACAGTGAAGTCCTAGGGTGGGCAGTTAGAGCATAAAGTGGTTCAAGGGGAGAAATTTGTGTGAGGAAGGAGACTTACCTGAGGGTGTGTGTGGGGGGCGGGGAGGGTGTCATGAGAGCTCGGGGAGAAGTGCCTAATTCCCTGAATATAATTTATTTAAAGCAGTTTTTCTTTTTTTTTCGAGGAGTCTCATTCTGTCACCCAGGATGGAGTGCAGTGGTGTGATCTCAGCTCACCGCCACCTCCACCGGCTGGGTTTAAGTGATTCTCCTGCCTCAGCCTCCTGAGTAGCTGGGACTACAGGCGCCCACCACCACACAGCACTAATTTTTGTATTTTTAATAGAGACAGGGTTTCACTATGTCGGCCAGGCTAGTCTTGAACTCCTGACCTCAGGTGATCCATCCACCTTGGTCTCCTAAACTGCTGGGATTACAGGTGTGAGCCACTGCACCTGGCCTAAAGCCGTTTTTCCAACAAGGTCAACCAACATTTGAAAAAGGACTTGAAGATCGGGAGTGGTGGCTCATGCCTGTAATCCCAACACTCTGGGAGGCTGCGGTGGGTGAATCACTCGAGGTCAGGAGTTTGAAAACAGCCTGGTCAACATGGTGAAACCCCATCTCTACTAAAAATACAAAAATTAGGCCAGGCGTGGTGGCGCACGCCCATAATCCTAGCATTTCAGGACGCCGAGGTGGGCTGATCACCCGATGTCAAGAGTCCGAGACCAGCCTGACCAACATGGTGAAACCCTCTCTCTATTAAAACTACAAAAATTAGCTGGGCGTGGTGGCGGGGGCCTGTAATCCCAGTTACTTGGGAGGCTGAGATAGGAGAATCGCTTGAACCAAGAAGCAGAGGTTGCAGTGAACCGGGATCATGCCACTGTACTCCAGTCTGGGCAACAGAGTGAGACTCCATCTCAAAAAAGAAAAAGGACTTTAGGCCTTAAAGAAAGCCGTCATGGGGGGCACTGCAGTTCTCTCAGAGGAAACTTGTTCCTCAGGCTCTCTTCAGAAAGAAAAGAGGAAGGAAGGAAGGAAGGAAGGAAGAAAGGGAGGGAGGGAAGGAGGGAGGGAAGGAGGGAGGGAGGGGGTGGGTCAGGAAGAACCCTGGCTGGAGCTTCCTAAACCCTGCAGTGATGTCAGACCAGGGTTTGGCAAAACAGCTCGGCTGAGACCAAGCGATGTGGGCCCAGCAGCCTTGAGGACTTTCTGTGTGACAGCGCAGTCCCCAGGCAGTGGAGGGGTGGGAGCGGCGGGGAGAGATTGAGAGGATTCCACGAGAGGCATCTCCCTCTCACTTCCGAGGCTTTACCACAGGCCTTTGGTGCCCACTCCCACAACAGCCTCCTGGGGACGGTCCTCAGCCTTCTTGCCACCCCACGAGACACTGGGGCAGGGCCTATGAGCTTCTTATCATCTGCAGTAGTTACCATAATCCCTGCACATGGCTGGCCCTCAGGTGGTGTCTGGCAGAGCCAGGAGGCCTGAGACATCTGAAGTCCATACGTGACCTGTGGGAGGCCCTAGACGCCCCAGTCCGGGCTCTCACCCAAGGCATAGCCAGGCAGGGGAAAGCGAGGAGCGTCCAAATGGGCAGACAGATGCCTCCCTCACTGAGCAGTCAGTGGCCAAACATTTTGAAAAAGTGACTCACCCCTCCTGCAGACCCTGTAAGCAGCCCTCAGTTACTAACTCCCAAGGCCGGCCTGCTCCAGCGGCCACCTGCAGTGGCCATCCCCCCTGCTTCTGGTCATCGCAGACTGATATTCCTTTGGGTAGTCACTCCCCACTCCCTGCCTAGCTCAAGGGGTGGCCAGTCTGTTCTCACCCCGCCCCCCACCACCCATTTCCTGCCACAGAGCACTGGTTCAGGGATGGGTGCCTCCATTAGAGCTGGTCTAGTGAGAATGAAACCTGGACTTGAAAACTCTCAGGAAGGCAGAGGCCTCTTTCATTCACTTGTTACATGGAGGAGGAAGGAGGGAGGGGTGAAGGCTCACTCTGGCCAGGTTAAGGTATTTCAAGAAAATCAGAAATCCAGATTTTCACATGACATCGGAGTTTCAAATATCAGCATCTGGTTCCTATAACTTTAAAATACTTTGAGTGCCAGACTAAAAGTGGCTGTGAGCCAGATTGGGCCCAGAGGCTGCCAGCGGTGCCCTTGGCTCTGCAACAGCGCTACCTTCAGCACGGCGATCCAGAGACCCGCCCAATCTGGCTGCAGTCTGCTTTCTCCAGCTCCATGCTTGGCCCTTCACTCTGGCCACCCAGACAAAGTGGGCCTCTCCCCTTTCTCCAGGCAGTGGTCGCCAAGCCCCACAGGATGCCCCCACCCCAGACACCTCCAGGCACCTGGCCCCTGCTGGCCTATAAGCAACCTAGGCTCATCAGACCTCAGGGCTTTTGCTTTGCCTCAATAGTTCTTCCAAAGACCCACATGCTTCCTGTTTTTGCTCAAAGGTCACCTTCTCAGGGAGATCTACCCTACCACACCCTTTAAAAAAGAAACCCGCCGGGCGGGGTGGTTCAAGCCTGTAATCCCAGCACTTTGGGAGGCTTAGACGGGAGGATCACCAGGTCAGGAGATCGAGACCATCCTGGCTAACACGGTGAAACCCCATCTCTACTAAAAAATACAAAAAACTAGCCAGGCGTGGTGGTGGGCGCCTGTAGTCCCAGCTACTCGGGAGGCTGAGGCAGGAGAATGGCGTAAACCTGGGAGGTGGAGCTTGCAGTGAGCTGAGATTGCGTCACTGCACTCCAGCCTGGGCGACAGAGTGAGACTCCATCTCAAAAAAAAGAAACCCTGCCCCATACTCAGTACTCCCGTCCCCTTTTCCTGATGTATTTTTCTCCATTGAACTTATTATCTAAAACAGGGGTCAGCAAACTATAGTTTACAGGCCCCATACAGCCTACTGCTTGCTTTTGTAAATAAAGTTTTATTGGAACACAGGCACGCCCATTTGTTTGTGTAGTGTCTATGGCTGCTTTCGGCTATGAGCATGGCTGAATGGTTGTAGCAGAGACCACTGCCCTGCAAGGCCTCAAATACCAACTGGTCCTTTAGAGATAAAGTTTGCCGACCCTTGATTTAAAATACTAGAATGTAGACTCCATGAAGGCAGAGACTTTTTGTCAGTTTTGTTCACTGCCTTATCCTCAACACCAAATAACAGTAACTGGCACTCGAGGACTCTCAGATATCTGCTGAATAAATGGACAAACCAACCAACCAACCAAGTGAGGCGACTCCATGCCTTTGTGCACGCTGTTTCCTCAGCCCTTCCTCCTTCTCTGAGCATCCTTCATGGCTCGACTCAGAGGTTCTCTCTAACGTGAAGCGTTCCTGTCCCCTCCAGTTCCCCCACAAACAAACAGTCCCTTCTTCCTTTACGCGTCTCTTCTTTTAGCACTCCTCACCCTATAGGGAGATGATCTTTCTACCTGCTGTTCTCTAGGAGTTGCCTGGAGACAAGACCTCATCTTATTTGTGTCAGAATCACAAATGCTTGCACATCGAGCTCCCAAATGACTGCTCATTGAACATGTGGGTAGATGAATAAAGGAATGTACCAATGTCCGAGACTAAGAGAATGACCTGGTGTTTTCGGGTCATACTATCTACTTCCTAAAGGTGGCGGAGAGAGACAGGTGGCTCAGAGGCTCAACAGCCACCTCTGCAAAGTGCTCTGAGCTCCTAAAAGCTCTGGAAAAACAGGCCGGGCGCGGTGGCGCATGCCTATAATCCCAGCACTTTGGGAGGCCGAGGTGGGCGAATCATGAGGTCAGGAGTTCGAGACCAGTCTGGCCAACATGGTGATACCCTGTCTCTACTAAAAATACAAAAAATTATCCGGGTGTGGTGGTGTGCGCCTGTAGTCCCTGCTACTCGGGAGGCTGTGGCAAGAGAATCATGTGAACCTGGGAGGAAGAGGCTGCAATGAGCCAAGATCACACCATTGCGTTCTAGCCCGGGTGACAGTGAGACTCCGTCTCAAAAAAAAAAAGCTCTGGAAAAACCAAGACATCTTGCTTACTGGCTACCTGGTGCTCCCCAAGATATCTCCTACACCAGCTACCCCTGGGCCCGACACCCCTACACTGGCTGCCCTGTGGCAACCCCCTGGCAATGCATACCTCATACTCAATGGCGAGGTCTGTGTGGTCATCAATATCCACCTTGGCCATCACCACCTTCCCGTGCTGCTTGGCCACCATCTTCTCTAACCTCGGCCCCAGGATCTTGCAGGGCCCACACCACCTCAAAAGGCGAGAAAGGAAGCGTCCAGTCAGTCAAAAGACCACTCAGCATCCCCTACTGGCTTCCCAGACCTGCATCTTTCCAAGGAATATTTTACCCTTATTATCTCTGTCTACCATGTTTAAAAATTAACACAGGCTGGACACGGTGGCTCACACCTGTAATCCCAGCACTTTGGGAGGTCCAGACGGGCGGATCACAGGTCAGGAGATCGAGACCATCCTGGCTAACATGGTGAAACCCCGTCTCTACTAAAAATACAAAATACTATAAAAACACAAAAAATCAGCCGGGCATGGTGGCAGGCACCTGTAGTCCCAGCTACTTGGGAGGCTGAGGCAGGAAAATGGCGTGAACCCGGGAGGTGGAGCTTGCAGTGAGCCGAGATTGCGCCACTGCACTCCAGCCTGGGCAACACAGTAAGACTCCGTCTCAAAAAAAAAAAAAAAAATAATAAAAATAAAAATAAATAAAAAATAAAAACAATAAAAATTAACACACCAAATGGTAATGCCAGGAGATTCTGCACATGGGAAATCTTCACAGATTCCAGACTTCTAAAACACAGGCCTCATCAGAAGACTCTTAGAATAAAAGTGACTTATTTCAGTATATTTCAGATAAATATACTGTCATATAAAAGAATATGGGATTGGAAGTTAAAAGGTTCAAACAGAGGCTCCTCACCAACCAGCCGATTATTCTGGGGTCCTAGTTTCTTCATCTGAAAAAGAGAGATTATGGCTCTCAAAGCTATTAGGAGAGATCAACTAAGGCAATGTGGGTAAGCATGTGTTGGAAGCTGCGGGGTTATTTCAAACACCATGTGGACTCAGAACTAAAAGGAGGGGAACCAATGGCCAGGAGTGTCTACAATGCGTCAGTCCCTGGACAAGCACTTTTTCTGCTCTTACCAAACACATCCCTCAACTCTGCAAAAAGAACGCACCTTCCAAAGAAACTGAAGCCCATACGAGTTAAGAAACCTGTGCAAGATTAGAGAAGCACAGCCGGGATCGTTCACAACCCAAAGCTGTGTTGAAAGTGTTTTCTTTGGCCGGGTGCGGTGTCCCACGCTTATAATTCCAGCACTTTGGGAGGCCGAGGCAGGCGGATCACCTGAGGTCAGGAGTTCGAGACCAGCCTGGCCAATAACATGGTAAAACCTTGTCTCTACTAAAAATACAAAAATTAGTCAGGAGTGGTGGTGTGCACCTGTAATCCCAGCTACTAGGAAGGCTGAGGCAGGAGAATCGCTTGAACCTGGGAGGCGGAGGTTGAAGTGAGCTGAGATCGTGCCACTGCACTCCAGCCTGGTCGACAGAGACTCTGTCTCAAAAAAAAAAAGAAAGTGTTTTCTTGCTGGGCACGGTGGCTCATGCTTGTAATCCCAGCACTTTGGGAGGCCGAGGCAGGTGGATCACCTGAGGTCGGGAGTTCAAGACCAGCCTGACCAACATGGAGAAACCCCGTCTCTACTAAAAATACAAAATTAGCCGGGGTGGTGGCACGTGCCTGTAATCCCAGCTACTTGGGAGGCTGAGGCAGGAGAATCGCTTGAACCCGGGAGGCGGAGGTTGCGGTGAGCTGAGATCGCGCCATTGCACTCCAGCCTGGGCAAAAAGAGCGAAACTCTGCCTCAATAAAAAAAAAAAAAAGAAAGTGTTTTCTTTCACCCACAGGCTGCTCTGTGACCCCACAGCCCCTGAGTAGACCACTATCACTGCCCTGATCACAGGTTCCCCTCTCGCTGGGGAAGCTCATCCAGGACAGGCCTGGTGCTGTCATCTCTATGTATGTGGCACCAAGGACAGTGCCTGGCAAAGAATGAACAACTCACACCTCACTTCCTTACCAAACAAAATGAGGCACTACCCCATTTATCGTGCATTTCGGAAGCCCTCTCTGGAATGCTCACTACACCAGCAGGCCAAAACAAACCTTTCACAAACCCCTGGCTGACAAGTCCTATTTTATTCTCAGCACTTACTTATCTATTCTTGAGATGGAGTCTCGCTCTGTCGCCCAGGCTGGAGTTCAGTGGCCGGATCTCGGCTCACTGCAAGCTCCACCTCCCGGGTTTATGCCATTCTCCTGCCTCAGCCTCCCAAGTAGCTGGGACTACAGGCCCCCGCCACCACGCCTGGCTAGTTTTTTTGTATTTTTTAGTAGAGATGGGGTTTCACCGTGTTAGCCAGGATGGTCTCGATCTCCTGACCTCGTGATCCGCCTATCTTGGCCTCCCAAAGTGCTGGGATTACAGACTTGAGCCACCGCGCCTAGTCAGGCCTGAGGGTTTTAAATGCTGAAAATAGGCCAGGAGTAATGGCTCACATCTGTAATCCCAGCACTTTGGGAGGTCGAGGTGGTGGGGGATGGGGGTCACCTGCAGTCAGAGTTCAAGAGACCCCTGGCCAATATGACGAAACCCCGTCTCTACCAAAAATACAAAAAAATTATCTGGGTGTAGTGGCAGGCACCAGCAGTCCCAATTACTTGGGAGGCTGAGGCAGGAGAATCGTCTTAACTTGGGAGGCAGAGGTTGCAGTGAACTGATCAAGCCACTGCAGTCCAGCCTGGGTGACAGAATGAGACTCCGTCTCAAAAACAAAAAAAAAAGAAAAAGAACCCTCAGGCCTGGTGCAGTGGTTCAAGCCTGTAATCCCAGCACTTTGGGAGGCCAAGGTGGGAGGATTGCTTGAGATCAGGAGGTAGAGACTGCAGTGAGTCGTGATCACACCACTGCACGCTACATTCTAGCCTGGGTGACAGAGTGAGACCTTGTCTCTAAAAGAAGAAAAACAAAAACAACTCATAACGCCTAAAAACCCAGTGTGCAAGATCTTATCTCCTATTACAAGTGAAGAAGGGAGCACAAAGATATCAAGTGGCCTACCCAAGGCCACAGGGTAAGTCAGAGAAACAACTGGAAAGATGGCAGAACAATCTGTCAGAGACCTGACCGGAAGGCCCTTCAATTTCTTTTTCTTTCTTTTTTTTTTTTGAGATGGAGTTTCCCTCTGTCACGCAGGCTGGAGTGTAGTGGCGCGATCTTAGCTCACTACAACCTCCACCTCCCAGGTTCAAGTGATTCTCCTGCCTCAGCCTCTTGGGTAGCTGGGATTACAGGTGGCCGCCACCAGGCCCACCTAATTTTTGTATTTTTAGTAGAGACGGGGGTTTCACCATGTTGGCCAGGCAGGTCTCGAACTCCTGACTTCAGGTAATCCACCCGCCTTGGCCCCTGAAAGTGCTGGGATTACAGGTGTGAGCCACTGTGCCCGACCTGAAGGCCCCTGAATTTTTAACTTCTGCTACACTGGTTTCTCCCAGGATGCCTCATTCAGAGGGCTTTGTCCAGCTTTTGTGTAGCTGGGTGTCTAGCCAGGCCCCAAAGGTCTAGAAACAAAAAAGGCCAGGCTAAAAATCAGAAGGCCAGAGGGACTTAAATATCTCTAAAGCAAACTCAAGACGGAACTGAAAGGACACTCCTTCCTATGCGCTGTATGCTTGGACACCATGGTAATGACACTAACTTTTTTTTTTTTTTTGAGATAGAGTTTCGCTCTTTTTGCCCAGGCTGGAGTGCAATGGCATGATCTTGGCTCATTGCAACCTCTGCCTCCTAGGTGCAAGTGATTTTCCTGCCTCAGTCTCCCGAGTAGCTGGGATTACAGGTGTGCACCACCACACCCAGCTAATTTTGTACTTTTAGTAGAGATGGGGTTTCACCATGTTGGCCAGGCTGGTCTCAAACTCCTGACCTCAGGTGATCTGCCTGCCTCGGCCTCCCAAAGTGCTGGGACTACAGGTGTGAGCCACCGCGCCTGGCCGACACTGATAACTTTTTGCCAGTCCTTCTTGCAGTTTTCACGGCAAGGTGTTAAAATAAACTTATCTGCAGGGCCAGGAACTGATATACACCAAAAGCAAGGTGACAGTCATATTTTTCCAACTCTGGTCCATGTTGAAGATGATGCTGAGCTTTCTGGACATTAAGAAACAGAACATGTGTTTCCCAGCACTAACTGCAGTCAGCTTCGCAGACTGTTCACTCATCTGTCTTCTACTAGACTGTACTCCCCTTGAGGGCAGGGACTAGGCCTTACCAGTCTATATATTGAGTCTACATATGAGCAGCATAGAACATGGTCCTGGGACATAGCAGATATTCAACAAATACTTGAACAAGTAGGACCCTAATCTTCTGTGGACTCCCAATACTCACTGTGCATGGAAATCCACAACCACTGGCGTCTCACTGTTGACCACTCGGTCTTGAAAGTCAGGTCCATCCTGGATATTAAAGGTTGTCAAGGAGATCCTGGTGGTGTATATTGTCCGGGCTGGGTTGAGTGTTACAGTCAGGCTACCAGGAGTGCATTGTGGGGTCTGCAGGGCTCTGGAAGTAAGGTGTGGCCACCGACCCTGAGAAGGCTTCCTGGAGATGACGGAGGCCAGGAACCTCCTTAGGAGAAGTCGCTGAGCCATCTGTGAGGGAAGAGGCAGAGAATTGGGGTACACAAAAGGAAGTTGACACACTAGAAAAATAAAGAGATTTGGGGATTAGTCGGGGCTCAAAAAGAGGCAGAGTGGGAAGCAAAATGCAAGGAAATAATATTTAAGATTTGTAGCGTAGAAGTGAGGAAGCTGAGAAACAAAGGAAAGGAATAGCTAGGCAAACCAGAAGGACAGGAAAACTGGCTTCACAACCAAAAAAAAATCGGGATTTAGATTATAACAGAAGAACGGGAGGGAGAAACCAACATTTAATAATTTATGTAAGGACCAAGTACCTTACATATATTCTTGATCTTCCTACAGCAACTTTGAGGAAGTTGCTATTGTACTGCCCACATTGCAAGTAAGAAAAGGCATCCGAGGCTCAAGTAAGTTAGGTGACATGCCCAAAGTAACCCCATTATTAAATGACAGCCAACACTGGAACCCAGGGTCGTCTGAAAAGATGAAACGCAACAATTGAAGGAGGAACTAAGAGTATGGTAGGAACCAGAAACGAAGAGACATGTACTGGAGGGAACTAATAAAGAAGGGACATGAATGGAGGGAACTGGGAAAAATCGGACGCCACCAGGGACCCCGGCTCTCCGGCGAGCTAGGTGCCCCCCGCCCGCCCGGCCGCCAGCCTGCGCAGGAACGCGCTCGCGGCAAGCCTCAGTCACGACACCACCTCGAGCCAGCCCCACTGGGCTCCTACCTCCCTGCAACGCGAGCGGAGGGATGCACAGCCTAGCCCTCCCTGCCTGTCAAGGGCACTCCTGTCGTCACTTCCTCAGGGAGGCGGACATTAACGTCACTTCCGGGGACAGGCAGGTGGAACACCATCCCTCTCGAATTTTTTGAGACGGAGTCTCGCTCTGTCGCCAGGCTGGGGTGCAGTGGCGCGATCTCGGCTCACTGCAACCTCCGCCTCCCGGGTTCAAGCGATTCTCCCGCCTCGGCCTCCCGAGTAGCCGGGACTAGAGGCGCACGCCACCATGCCCAGCTAATTTTTGTATTTTTAGTAGAGGCGGGGTTTCACCATATTGGCCAGGATGGTCTCCATCTCTTGACTTCGTGATCCGCCCGCCTCGGCCTCCCAAAATGTTAAGATTACCGGCGTGAGCCACAGCCCCCGACCTGTCCCTCTCTAATTTGAGGAGCGTCTGGGATTTTCCGCCAATGGGAATGGCGGGAGGAGGCACAACTGAAAGGGCGGGGCCTCAGCTAGGGACCGGAAGCAATAGGCAGGCAGTCGGGGGAGGGATTGGAAGAGGCGGGCAGGCCCTGGTCGGGAGGAAGGCTGGCGCGGGGCGGAACCGGAAGGGGTTGGCGGGCCCTAGAGGAGGGACCGGAAGAGGAGGTAATGGCGCAGGGGTAGCAATGGAGGGTGCTTAAGGGAGAAAAGGCAGTTGAGAGGTCCCCGTGGTTTTTGATTTTGTCAACTCCTGTTACTTGATTTTAATTATATTTATTTATTGGTTAATGACAGAGTTTCGCTCTGTCTCCCAAGCTGGAGTTGCAGTGGCGCGATCTCGGCTCACTGCAACATCCAACTCCCGCGTTCAAACGATTCTCCTGCCTCAGCCTCCCAGGTAGCTGGGATTACAGGCACACGCCATCACGCAGGCTAATTTTTGTATTTTTAATAGAGATGGAGTTTTTCGCCATGTTGGCCAGGCTGGTCTGGAACTCCTGAGCTCAAGTGATCCGCCCGCTTCAGCTTCCCAAGGTGCTGGGATTACAGGCGTGAGTCACTTTGCCTGGCCTCCTGTTTATAACTGGCGCCGTCCACTTCCTAAAGATGTTGACAGGTTCTGTTTCTTCATTTAATAAGTAAAGTTAAGCTTCTCAAAGGCATGGTGCCCTTTATATGTAAAAGAACTCACCCGGGAGTTTAGGGGTCATCCTTAAATGGCCCTCGTCTGTGTCCACCTAAAGGAAAACAAATAAAAACTGAGGCGAGCTTAATTTAAGCAGGGAGTTTATTTGGGTCAAGTTCGAAGACTGCAACTTGGAGCAGAGATTCAAGTTGTCCTGAATATACACTTGGATTAGCAGCAGCTGAAAGAGCGTTTTTAAAGGAAAAGAACAGGCAGTTTCTCAATTGTTGATCAAGAATTTTTTTCTTTTTTTGAGACGGAGTCTCGCTCTTGTTGCCCAGGCTGGAGTGCAGTGGCGCGATCTCGGCTCACTGCAACCTCTGCCTCCTGAGTTCAAGGGATTCTTCTCCCTAAGCCTCCCGAGTAGCTGGGACTACAGGCATGCCTCACCACGCCCAGCTAGTTTTTGTATTTTTAGTAGAGATGGAGTTTCACCATGTTGGCCAGGATGGTCTCCCATCTATTGACCTCGTGATCCGCCCACCTCGGCCTCCCAAAGTGCTGGGATTACAGGCCTAAGCCACCTCGCCGGTCTCTTTTTTTTTTTGAGAGAAGGAGTCTTGCTCTGTAGCCAGGCTGGAGTGCAGTGGCATGATCTTGGCTCACTGCAACCTCCACCTCCTGGGTTCAAGTGATTCTCCTGCCTGAGCCCCCCCAAGTAGTTGGGATTACAGGCGAGCACCACCACACCCGGCTAATTTTTTATATTTTTGGTACAGACTGGGTTTCACCACGTTGGCCAGGCTGGTCTCGAACTCCTGACCTTAAGTGATAGCTTGCCTCGGCTTCCCAAAGTGCTGGGATAACAGGCATGAGCCACCGCGCCCAGCCGCCCTGCCTATTTTTGTATCTGCTTTTCTGTCTCTAGCACTTCTACAGCTCTTCTACAGCTGCTTCTACAGACAGCTTCTACAGCTGTCTCTAGCTCTTCTACAGCTACCTATCAGTCCTATTCAGCACTTCCACAGTATTTTCTAGAGAGCCAATTTTGCCGCTTAATTCACATTCTGAATTTCAAAGGAGGACCAGTCCTGTTTGTCCTTTTCCCATAGTCACTTCACCCTGATTGGCCTCAGGTTTCTCTGAGCAATGGGAAGAATAATGCCTTTCTCATAGTTGGGCTGTGGGTTGCAGTAGAGACAGAATCCATGTCATTGCTGCCTGATGACTCATGCAGGGAAAGCCTGTGAGACACACAGAGAAGGCTGAGCTCTCGGCACCCTACAAAGGGGCTCTCAGCTACATGGTGGCTCCTCTGTCCAGCTAGAGCTGAACACGCCTGGGTCTGGCTTAGTCAAAAGCAGGCTCAGGGCACAGCTGTGAGGCAAAGGGAAGGAAGCCAGGACTGGCAGCGTGGGCTAAGGGTAAAACTTCTACCTGTTACCAATATTTATTGCAGTGGTTTTCAAACTGCAGGATGTGGACATCAGTGGGTTTGCAAAATTAATTTAGTGGGTGGTAGTCAGCTTTTTTAAAAAAACAAACATGGGGCCAGGTGTGGCTGCTCACACCTGTAATCCCAGCACTTTGGGAGACCAAGGCGGGCAGTTCACTTGAGGTCAGGAGTTCGAGACCAGCCTGGCCAACATGTTGAAACCCCATCTCTAGTAAAAACACAAAAATTAGCCAAGCGTGGTGGTGCACGCCTGTAGTCCCAGCTACTCGGGAGGCTTAGGCGGGAGAATTGCTTGAACCCAGGAGGCAGAGGCTGCAGTGAGCTGAGATCATGCCATTGCACTCCAGCCTGGGCTGCAGAGTGAGACTCCACCTAAAAAAAAAAAAAAAAAAACTAAGGAGAAAGCAGCAGGTGTCACATATTTAGGCATCAGTATATTATTTGCTGCAGCATCGCATATCCTTATTGGAACAAATGGCTCAGTCACCCTTCAGGAACTGGGTAGGCAAGATGTGTGTAACAGGATTTGATATTATGAGTTTGATCCTATCAGAGATACATTTTTTTAAAAAGTTTTGAAAAAGGCAGGGTGGGATGACAGGATCCAAATTCTGGTTTACCTGTAATCTGTATGCAATCCAACATCCTGGTTAGGGAGAAACCCTTAATTTAGAAGTTTCAGCCTCATTCAGACTATCCCAAGTATTATTGTTAGAAATACATTTTTGGTGCTGCAAAAGAAATAGCACTCGAACATAAATTTTCTCAGCAAGGCAATTTTGCTTATATAGAAGGGTGCATCTCGTGGATGGAGCAATGGTGAGAGCACACCTGAACAAAGGAGGGGAAGGGGTTTTTATCCCTGATGCAGGTAGCCCCTACTGCTGTGTTGTTCCCTTATTGGCTAGGGTTGGACTGCACAGTCTAAGCTACTTCTGATTGGCTATTTTAAAGAGGGCAGGGGTATAAGCCAGAGTGGTGGGGTGAGCAGTTTTAATGGGAAAGATGGTTACGGACCAGGTGACTAAAGGTGACTCAGGTCACAGCAGGTGATAGAAGCTAGAAGGGGGTTGTTTACTGAAACTAGGGGCAAGAAGACAAAGAATGAAGAAGTTACTTTAAAATGAAGAACAAAGAACGGGGGAGCTGAACACACTGATACGCTGGTTCTTTGGAGACGATCTCAGAACTCATTGTACTTAACGATTTATAGGCTAAAACCTTTGAAGAGGAATTTATTATATCCTACAATTTCCCCCCTTTCAATTTTCATAGTACTTCCTCTTCAAACTTTTTTTGAACATGTCTTGGCTTTGCTGCTCAACTTAATCCTCTAAAAGAAAAAACTGATGTGAATAAGGTGGAGGAGAGAGGTAAGGGAGGTTTCAGTAAATGCTGCTTCTATAAGTCTTTGCACTAGCCCCCAGATGCATAGTATGACACAACACCCAACAAGAATGAGTACACCTATTACAGCTGCAAGAGAAGTAAGAATTGAGGCTATGATTTCTTTCCATTTACCGAACCACCTTTCAAGCCACCCTGAGAAAGGGTTATCGACTCCAGAATTTTAGCTAGTTCATTGGATAAAGCAGTAAGTCTTTGTAAGGCCCTTGTTATGCTCCCAGTTGGGGCAGTCTTGTTTGGGATAAAGGTACAACACTGAGTTTTAATCATAACACAAACACCTCCTTTTTCGGCTAATATACATAGGGCCATTCTGTTTTCCCAGGCCATCTGGCTAGTGGGCCCCAATTGTTCTGCTATCCCTTTGGCAGCATCCCTGGTGTAATTAATAAGCCAATGCTGATTATAATAGATGGAATTTATCTAATCTACGTTTTTATTGTCACCCACGAAAATATTGACTTAAATCCTGCAGCTGTTTGAATTCGGGCTTTAAATTCATCTGGTACTCCTCATGGAACTCCAATAGCATTTATATAAACATGGGGGTCAAAGGACCCATGTGAGGCACTTTTCTTACTTTTTTTTTTTTATCGTGTTGATGAATTGCTAGGGTGAAAGGGATGGCCAGTTGGACTACAGTAAGAGTACTACTATAATTACTTGGCAGAGTACCCAGCAATAGTCCCCTGCAATACCACCACACATCTGCTCAGGGATGAACAAGGGCAGACTGATTGGCAAGCTCTTGAAAAGGCCTGGTTTCACTGTACCCTGTTAAGTCTCCAAGGGATGCTAACTTTTCCCCCTGCCATGAAAGGCACGAGGTGAAGTTAATATCAAGGGCTGGAGGCCAAATGGCCCTTGGGGGCTGATCTGCAGGGCTCTTGACCTCAGGGAACAGCAGTGAGTCTTGCATGATTCGTCGCCCCAGGCTGTGGAGTTCTGGAAGACAGCTACCATACAGCTCATGCCTGGTCCGTGAGAGGACCACCCACGGGGAAAGGGGACAATTTGGGTCTCTGGCCTGCCTGTCGCACAGGCATAACAGTTGTTTTTGTTTAGTGTGTGGACAGAATATTTAATCAATTCCAGCCAAGCATTTGCTTCCTGATACCCTGTTTCAATATAGTTTGTTTTAAATCTCTAACCTCTACAACAACTACTTTGGTTTTATCATTGGGTATATGACGAGAGAAGGTTTAGTTAGTGGAGAACTTAGGAGAGGGAGAAGGGGGCGCAGGAGGTGAGGAGGCAATGAAGTGCTTTCAAAGGATCCTATGTGGTCCTTCCCTGAGACTTCTGCTCCTATACAGTAGAAATGGCTTAATGAAGGGAAAAAACTCTAGGGAGGAGAGATGGTGATCTGTACTGGATTACATTGGCTCAGCTGACAATGGGGAGGGGTAACTCCTTTAGTAAAATGAATATATGGCTTTAAGAAACTGCAGGTACTCGTTGGGGCGGTCCATTCTCGCTCTTCA